AGTGGAGGGATTAGCTCAGGAGAAATAACAGTCTTTGGAGATTCAGATAACCAAGAGTGTGATTATAGATATGGTCTTTGTCTCTAGTAAACAGTGAGTGTTTATGCTAAGACACACAAACTTGGCATAGACAAAAGATAAACAAGCATGGGGACATGACAGACTACATATAGGGGATGGTAGGAAGAACAGACAGAGACAAGACTAAGATGAACAGGATAAGAGAGGGAATGAGCTAATAATGAGCTTGTGCCTCACACATGTTATTGCCCGGCCAGACGCAAACACAAAACACTGAGTCGTCAGACTCAGGACCATGACAGTTAAAACAACAACAACAAAAAAAAAAATCTTATGATGGTTTGTGGGTGGAAAAAACATTTGATGTGGTTTCATTTTCCACTCTATGTCTAAAAAAAGCTCATGTGAAAGTTAGCGAAAGACATGCAAATATGCTTGGATACAAAAATGCAAAAATCCAGAAATGCCCAGCTGGAAATAAAATAAACACATCCACAGCCCCCATTAAATGCTGTCCTCATTGTAAAAAACAACATCAACAACAACAACAACAAAAAAACATAGCTGTCCACCCACATTTAGTCTTCTATGATGTTTAATGGCTCAAATTGTAGAAAATCTACAATTTGATGACATCAAAGTGATAAAGTTTAATTTATGTTTCTAGATGTTCTTACACTGGTGCTCCCTGAATAAATGGAAATAAATGCAAAGATTTATAGAAAGAGTCATGCAAAAATCCTGAAACCATCAATGCAAATGTTTGGATCAGCATCACAGTATCCTTGTTATAAGTTCCTCTTTGACTTCATCAAAAGTAACGACTTGTTCATGTGGCTGCACATTTATCATCATCATCACTTGTTCAGTGCACAACAGTCAGCAAGTTTGCAGCATGGCACAATTCAACTCCACCATGGTTACTTCTAAAATCTCTTCCTCTCCTGGAGATTCACCTCATCCTTCCTTGGACTCCAGCG